AACACTGACATCAGAATGTTCGAATACAGGCACACAAATATTGCCAGTGAAAAGCAGCCTCAGACCCCAACTGTACTCACTTGGTTTAGAGTCATCCTGTAAACAGGATTGCTTAAAGAAACTCTCATCAGCCAGCACTATATTTTACTGAAATATATAGGGAAGAAAACTAATTCAAATAATTTGCTAGTATTCTAAGCTTTGTAGGAATTATAAAACTGCTTTTAAAATAGATTCTGGTAAAATAAATGTGGCTAATTGAATTAACCTACTGCTCTAAAATATGCAAAACACAACTGAATACATTTTAAATGCAGGCAATTTAGCCACCTAATTCAAGATCACAATCTCGGAAATCTGATACAGCAATTCAAAATTCCTATTTGAATTACTGTAGGAATTCCTGAGATGAGTGGTAGAGAACTCCAGCTACATCTGCTTTTACATTATTTAAAAACACATTTGTCTGTTTCAGTGGAAGCTCCCTGTGCTGGAATCTGAATGTACAGTACAATGGAGAAAACTACAAATTTCAGGTCTAAGCCTCACTCACACCCCTCCCCCTTCTCCCTTTCCCCACAGCCCCTACAACCAAAAATAAACACTCAAATTGGCAGTATAGAACTCATCAATCTCAAGCTCCTGTGAATTTAAGACAATCAGAAAAAACAAGGATGTAGAGGGAAAAAAATCCCTGCTTTTGCAAACAAGAGCCTAATTAGGTGTGTAAATAAAAATCCCTTTACTGCTATGGCTCTCGGTCCTGCAGAAGGAAAGTAGCTTGCCTACCCTCCTCCCACCATGAATGTCAACACAAGCCACACCAGAAAGCCTCCATTTCTCTCACACTGGACACTGCTTCTCAGCTAACTTTATCTAAGAGCCTGTTTCTGTAAAATTATGCTCTAACATAAAAACAGACAAATCATATAAATTCACTCAAAACCAACTGTAAACTACAGGGAAGGTTTGCTTATCATTTACTTATTTTCCATTGGGCTGGGACTATATTCTTCAGGATTGTGTATGTATCTGTCTGTGTGTATATATATTTGTGTGTGTGTGTGTGTGTGTGTGTGTGTGTGTGTGTATACATACTGAGAACTGAGTATTTGCTTATGGGGTGAAGGGAGGTAATATTTTAATGTCTCTGATAAAAAAAAAATGTCTTTTTCATTGTGCCTTTCACACTATACAAAAGACCAGGGGAGAATGTTCAGGATCCTAGGTTGTGCTTCTAAGCACTCACTAGTGTCTTCTGCATTAACCTGTTCAACAGTAACTGAAATATTCATTGACTCCCTTGGAAACCTGTCTTTCCCAACAGTGCTTTCCCACTGTCAGTCAAGCTAATTAACTACGTTTACCTGCTTGTGTTCTGAATTGCAAAGGTTTATAAGCTGGGTAACACCAGCAGTGGCTTGCAACAAGAATCAGAGATGCCTACATTAAAAAAAAAAAATGCAAAGAGCTAAAGTTCTCAAGCATGCAACATTCAATTATTATAACTCAAGTAACACTGTTTGGAGAACTAACGCGCATAGCTCTCGAGCCTGGAGCTTGCTGTGTTTCTGTCTCTTTCCGTGATGTGAACCATGAAAACAGGCACAAGCCTATGAGTATACAACCTACAAGCACTGAGTCCTAGAATAATTTGGCAGCAGACTTCAGAAGAAACTTAATCTTCTCTGCCTCTCCATTTTATTTCCTTCTTGTTTATTCTTAAGATGAAGCTTTGGGTTTTCACAGAGGAGATTTTCTGTTTTCTTAGCCTCGTGATATAGACAAGTGGTGGCAGGAAGTTTAAAGATTGGCCCTGAGCTAGAGAAGACAACTCATGGCCAACCACCCAAAGCCAACTGGAAACTACACAGGAGTTCTCCTGATCATTTAATTAATTTCAATTGAACTGGGACTATTTTCAATTGGGCTGCTGGGAAGTCATTTCAATACCTATTCTGGTATGGGTGTGGGTGTGGGTGTGGGTGTGGGGTGTGTGTGTGTGTGTGTATATGTGTGCTTGTGTGTGTGTGTACAGAGAACTGAAGTATTTGCTATGGAATGAAGGGAGTTCATCTTTTATTGGCCAGTTTTAATGAATTTCTTTCTCTCCTTCCTGATCTTCTAATTCACCGATAAATACTTCAGGTTTTAAACTAAATCGTATCTCAAGAAGGAATAGGAAAACCTATAATGACTATATCCCAGGGAAGCCTGCTAGTGTTAATAAATTTACTAATTTTAAGCACAATTTCTATGGTGGTGGCTGATAGAAATGAAACTAGAGTATGATGGAACAGAAAAGGAACGGGAGAAAACTGAGTCACAAACTTAATAAGCTCGAATGTTTTGATATGTCTGGAGCTAAAGTCATATAACATGTATAAGGAAAACTCGGGTCCATAATTTTAAGCTGTATCCTAAAAAAGTGCTCTAAGTTTTCCAGTAAGCTGACAAAAATATTCCTTTAGTGCTCTGAGTGGTTTATAGTGATCCTACCATTTCCCACTGTACACAGCCTTTGTAGGCACACTGGTGCCTGAAAACGGAGGGCACTGAACAGCTATGTACTCCTTTGAAACTGGGCCTTGGAAGTCCATGTCCAAGACCTAAAACAGTAAAAAAAAAAAATTGATGTTTTTTATTCCTTGAGACAGGATCTCCTGTAGTCCATGCTGGCCTCAAACTCACTTCCATGGATGAAGCTTGCTCTGAACTCTTGACTGATTTCCTGCCTCCAACTTCCCAGGGCTGGAGCAATAGTGCATCAGCAGAGCCTGCACAATTAAGACTGTTTTTGGTGTTTTGTATAAGGCGTTACCTCTAAGAACCAGGGTTAGTGATGCATGCCTTCAATTCCAGCACTTAGGAGAAAAGAAAAAGGCTAGTGGATCTCTTTGAGTTCAAGGCCAAGGCCAGCCTGTTCAACATAGTGTATTTTAGGACAGCCAGAACTACATAGTGAAACCATGTCTCAAAAATCAAAGAAGAAATTACTGCTAAGTATCTCATAGACTGAATGTTTCAAGCAACCATAAAAATTATGTAGAATATTGAATGATTCCAATTTACATAATTTTAATTATGTAAACATGTTACAAAATATAATATATTCATGAATATGGATGCGATAGCAAGGTATGAAATATAAATATTTAGAAATATGTTGGCACTCCATATTTTCTTTAAAGTCAAGCCACGTCCCATTCCCACAAACCATCCAAAGGGACTGCCTCACAGATACATCTGTTCTGCTTAAGTAGTAGCTCACTTGTTAGCCTATTTCACTATATCCTATACCAAGAGATACTATTTTTTAATTCTTTCTCCCCATATACATTGGTAAATCCAATGAGTCAAAATGGTTCAACAGGCTTAGCCTTTCTTGTTTAAGGCTGACAGTGACTGGTTTGGACCTATGGCTCTCACAGGCTACACAGGCCACTGACAGTCCACTGGGCCCATCTGAGGTAGACCCTGTAGTAGGCTCTGTGACTGTCTCCAGACCTTGTCTGTGCTGTAAGGCTTTCACCTGAAGACAGAGTTAAGGGAGGGAGGAAACAGGACTGATCGATGACTTGCTTTTAGTGTACAAATTCTAGTCACTCCTCTTATACATTAAAATTGCGTTTGTGTAAATTTCAGCTTGATGATTGACATGAGTAGAAGTTTCCAATGGAAAGGTGCTTTCCCCAGAGATTAACGTTGGTGCTAAATCAGCACAAAGTTTCTACTTTTTACAACAGCCATTCTCCATAAACACTGGGCAGGAATAGATTTTCTTATAAAGCAAGTCACAGAACATTTGCAGATAAAAGTAATCACTGTTGGTTGAAAAACCAAGATGTAATTAAAAAAACAGAAATAAATGATTTTGTGCTATATCTTCCATACTTTACAGGTTTTAAATGGCTTTCTCCAATACATACTCAAATACTGCACCAAAATGATATTTACATGATGCACAAAATGATGCATAATTTAATTGATTATGTTTTTTTTAAAACCCTGAGATGAAAAAAATCATGTTGATTGGGAAACTGATACATAAGGGTTTGTCTTTGAATGGAAATCTAGCACAGATAATCCATTAAATTTCTAATAAAACTTATTTAATGAATCCATCAGTATTCTGAGTCTTAATAACAAATAAGTAAGCAACAATATCAGTGAAGATTTTCTTTCCACAGTCTCCAGCTGAAAGAAAATGCAACGTAACGTCCAACATATTCTTCCATACATCTGAGTTATAAAAATATACTTAGGACTTAAGTGGCTGCATATGACAGACAGTAATGTGTTCATATAAACCTTCTAAGTTTCGACTGAAATGTATATGGATTGAAGTAGATACGTCTATTTACATACAATTTATATGAACATTCACATGTGCTAATTATATTGAAATAATTATAATACTATGTTTAAAGTATATTACTCAATCCTCAAGAAAGTGAATAAATGTTATGCATACTTGCCAAATAGCCTTGCATATTTTATAGGTATTAAGTTTTAGCTTTTTCTTGTTTATATTATAGTGGCCAAAGCCACAGGAATACTAGACACAAAAACTGTTTTGCTGATCTTAAGAAGTAATCCAGTTCAATGTTGACATATTTAAAAATTTGGTTGTATTTGCTAACAAAATGAAAAACATTATTTCAAAATTTTCAGTAGTCATACAGCAAAGCGATACAAATTAATATTATGTAGAGACATTTCTTTCAACAAAAATAAATATATTCAAAGTTTAAAGTATTATATGTATACACATGTATATATTTCAAAACATATGTGTATATATATATCTTAAAATAAAACCAGTCTACGGAATGTGACGATCTAGTATAATGTGATTCCCAATTAAAGAGGAACATAGATTGAGTGAAATCACTTCAAAACCAAGGAACACTGTGATAACCCTGAAGGCAGAGATCACTAGCACTCAGAAGTCACACTGTGAAGAAACAAGGGCAGAGCAACAAGAGACAGCCACTCACCTTCAGTGCCATTGGGAGTCATGGAAGTACTATTTATATGAGAGCTATCGAGTTTGGGACCACTGGGGGAGTCGCTACTACCACTCAGTCGGCTATGTGGGCTGGTTAGATCCTGCATTTCCATAGACCTAAAGACAAGAAGCCTTCCGTTTGACAGATGTACCAAATTCATAACACCACTATTTAATGTGCTAACGACTTGACACCTCCTTTGAAACACACATGCACAAAAGTCCCATTGTATCTGTTTTCTTAGACTGGAAATAGTTCATCTTGCATCTGACTTCAGTCCTTTCATCACACGTATTACGAAGAGGCGTCACTCGTCCTATGTAGCCAAAGTTTCACATGCAGTTTTTAAAATCTCCCCCCCCCCACACTTTTATAATTGAAGTCATAAGGTAATGTCAGACAATGACATGGAATTTAACTTTCAGAGGAAAACATGCAGTCGTGATTTTTATATGAAAACAATCTCCCAGGCCATTGCTTTTCTAAAAGAAAAGGCAAATATGTAAGCACGTGGAATAGAAATAAATCACTATTCTGTACAATCTGTTTCATCTAATAAATTAGCACTGGGTACTCTCTTTATAATTAAACACCCAATTGTTATTTAATGGGTCTCCAAACCAAATAAAACCCTTGCCGCCTCCACCCCCGCGACAGGGGATGAGATGGTCCCAATGCATTTGTTTACTCTGGCACACTTCTTAATTTGTTTCCCTTGAAACAAATGCAACATTAAAACCTTACGATGTTGGCTCACATGTTTGCTTTGTGGATTACATACACCCATAGCCAATTGGAAAAGGATAAGGCCGATGCACAGAGGGTCTGAGGGACCATTAGCACTCGGGAGGACTTCAGCTGTCACTTGGGGGGAACAGGGGCAATTCTGTGCAATGTCATAATTTCGCATTTCCACGATATTAAAAACAGTTCAGTGCCTCCCAGATGCCCTTACGTTCACCAGTTATACTTCTGTTGTAGGGGCACAACAGCCACACAACTCGTATTCAGAACCAGACGCTTCTCATATTTACCACTCTTGTACATCAACAGTGGACCTATTTAAAGTCACTATAGGTACAGCTCCATTTTCTGACAGCACAAACTTCTAAAGCCTAATGTCCATTCACTGTATCCTAAATACATCTATCTATCTATCTATCTATCTATCTATCTATCTATCTATCTATCTATCTCTATATATATATATAGATAGATAGATATAGATATATGTATTTTTTTTAAATCACAATCCCTGGGAGGTTCACGTTACACACATAATGCTGATATTATTGGCTCCTCACCTCACCTGGGGTCATTTTAATTTAGAGGCTACACTGAAATTGACTGTAAGGTATCAGTTGTAAAAATAGCTTCCCAGGAGTCACTTTACTTCCTCAAGTATCTGAATTCAAACAAAAAATGATTTCAAATTCAGTTATTCATAATTACTATTCCATATTCAGTTTTTCTAACAACAGATAGCAACTGCCTCAAACCAAGTCTCTCATGCATTCCCCATGCTTAATCATTTTTTGTACAAGTGCACTTCTCTACACAGGAGCAGGTACACACACACGCACACTCACACACGCGCAGAGAAGCGCATACACACACACACACGCACACAAATTGTTAAGTCACTTCCAATACAGGCCGTTGCTATTAATAGAAATAATTAAGAAATACTAGACAAAAATAGATCCGGGTTACAGAAAGGTAAGCTACAAAAAAAATGTTAAGTATCAACAAAACCCTTACCTGCAGCTTGAGGAAAGAGCAACATCGGAACTGCTGTGAGATGTTTGCACCTGTGGCCAGGGGTAGAAAATTAGAAGTGGGTGTTAACTGTGCTTCAGGGTCAGCTCTTAATTATACAGAGCACATGGCTGAGCCCACAATGCTCACTTTTAACCAAAAGAGAAAAAAGGAGGCTACTGCAGCCGGAAAAGACATAGTGTCTTTAAGTGGAGGGCTCAACTGTTGTTTCTTCCTGCAGGTCTATCCTCCTCCTCCCCTTGTCAGGAGGGGAAGGCAGTCAAATGACGGGCTAGTGATTCATCACTGGCCTATGACAGCTGCAAACGGGATTACCCCTCCCCCAATCAACACGCAAAGCAGTCTCGCCCCAGCAGCTTGGAAAAGGTGCTCGGGAAGGGGGGAGAAAAAAAAATAGCTATTAACAAATGAGTATGTTTGACAGCAGCAGTAGTTGAGGCAATAATCCCCCAGCTCCCTCAGATCTTTCATCTTCTGTCCTAGCCAGCTGAACTAGAGTGGCCTGCCCACCCCCTCAGCCTCCTCACCATTTCCTATCCTTATCAGGATGCTTTTCTCCCAGTTACTATTTGTCATTTAACATTTAGTGAAACAGCTTCGGGCAATGCTGTGCTCAAGAAACAAGGAAAAGGCAGGTTTTCGTACTCAAAGTCCCAGCACTGAGCAATGTGCTAAGTTTGACTATACCAAAATAAAACCCAAGGACTCTTTTTTACAGCTATGCTGGGCAACATGAAAGTATGTGTGTGTTTGTGTTTATGTGTGTGTGTGTTTCTTTTAGACTGAAGTAGAATGAATATTTGAGAACTCAATTCAGCAAACTCAGTTTGTTTCCGGGATAAACTTCAATTGAGAAATTTCACTCCACAGCTCCTAGACTGGTCATTGCTTTCCAGAGGCAAAGGACCAGCAGGTAATGAGGTTCAGGTGAGCCAGGCTGCTGCCCTCTTGCAAGCTCCCACCAACCCTTGGACAGGCAGGCAGGAACACTCTGCCTAACTTTTAAAATGGTACAGAATTCCAAATCTTTGATGTGCATTTTCATTCAACCTGAACTGACATCAATTAGGGCTGCAGAACAAAGATGAGAACTGAAGCGTCTCAAATGACATTAAAGTTATCCACCTAAACATCTTCTGTTGAGTCCTGCTAGTTTTTAATTATGATTTATGAAATTAAGAAACACGACCTTTCTAGCAAGAATAAAGCATCATTAAGGTCTAAATGTCCTGGGATAATGTTACGAGGAACTTCTAGGGATGCATTTTTTTTTTTTTTAATGTGCAGGACAAAAACAATTTTTAAAGACGGTTAAGTAAAGTTTCTGAGTACTAACTTTAATGCCTGCAGATGGCCATTATTTGATAACAGGTTTCTGCAATTTTTTAATTAATGATCTCACACAAGATTAAATAGTTTTCTTTAGAAACTGCAACAATACATCTCAAGGATAAAATTCTCCTACTTTTATACACCTGGAATAAATTATAGGTGAGAACGGACCTCATTCTAAGAATTCTCTGGCTTACGTTAAAACATACCTACTGTTCAATGCTAAAATACATGCCCATTGTAAATTCAGCTAGAAAGCATAATTTTGGAAATAGAACTTTTATTTCATTGTAAATTTTGAAAGTTTCATTGTTGTTATATTTGAAGTTTAAAACCTACTATTTGCCAGTGTTTTTTTTTTTAAATCAAACTTGGTAATTAAAAAAAAAACTGCAAACAATTATTATTCTAATGCATTTTCTTATTGAAAAAAAATGCTACTTAAGAACGAATTTTTTTTCTGCTGAGCCTAGCTTCTACTGTACTTTCAGAGAGCAGTTTTTGAAAGTCCGTACCCACGATCTTCCTCTCATTAAGTGTACTTCAGATATATTCTTTTGTGTCTCAAGGATTATTTAAACCATGTGTTGTGTGTTACTGTATTTAAAAATGACTCTTTAATCAAAATAACTTTAAAACAACTAATCCTCACTTAGGCTGGTCAGCTGAACCCACATCGTGGTCCAGGAAAAATAAATCTACTCTCAAGAATGCGAATGCAGACAACAATTAGACACAGATGTGAGTGAAATTAGTTACAGTTTACAAAATGCTACACTTCACATGCTTTTAGTTTTTTATGTGCAGTGCGGGATCACAGTGCAGCAGAGAGACATCCGTAGTCTTCAAACAGCTATGTAAAAAGGACACCTAGTTCTGATGGCTGCAATGTCTGCGTTAGCTTTTCGCATTTAACACTCTAAAACCAAGGTGTGTTTCAAAAAAAAAAAAAAAATGAAGGAAGGATATTTTCATTCGAAAGGAGCAGAGTCTGTCGTTTTTAAAACAGTTCTGCTAGGCACTGGGGGTGTTTACTTACTTGTTTTATCTGCAAAGTTACCATAATTCCTGGCATCTTCTAATCTGATATTTTTAATCCCAATACTCTCAGGAGTGCAAAGTTAGTATTACAAATGGTCATCTCACACAGTACAAGAAAGTTATTCAGTTTAGTGCTTTTTAAAACCTCCTTGGGTAGAATACACACAGTTGTAGCATATTGACAGACTTGTGAAAATAAAGAGAAGATAACAGAGCTCCTTAGAATTTAAATTCAAGACTCCTGCACCAGTGACTATGACTTTTGATTAGTTAATGAGGTCTTTTAAGTTTGCCTTTTTTCTAATTAAATTTATAATTCTTCACAGATGTAACTTGTGTTGATGTTCAATTTGTCTCTCTCATTTTGTTAAACCTCACATAGTACTTCGTCAATCCATTGAATAGCCACATTAAATCTGTTAATACCATGCTCTTCAACCCCAGAAATTATTTCCAGAAGGCAAACGTGCTTTGAGAGATCATCAAACAAGACTTAAGGTACACATTTTATCACATTTTCCCTACCACAGAGCTCAGGATACAGAGCAAAATTCATGACTTTTGCACTGTTTATTATACTTTGCTAAATTACCAATCAAAAGTATCTGACAGAAGATCATGTATGAAGCCAAAAAGTTAATAATGTTCTATGAAAAGTAAACTGTAAATGGAAAGGGATTCTAAATCTCAGCAGCACAGAGCAAATAAAATGTAGGTACTTGTCTAAATTATGGGTTTTCCATGGGCTTTTTCGCTTGCTAGAAGCAATTTTTATAAAATGACTGTAATTTTAAAACTTTTTTTTCTTCTCAAACTGAAAAGAAATTTTCAAAGTGAAAGTACTGAACTTCTATCTAAGTACAGCTGGCCGGCAAGCTGGTTTTGTCTGACACAGATCAACCTGTGTGCCCTCCAATTTGAAAGACAATGGTCATTTTCAAATCAGAATGTATTTTATAGTAGGGAAAGTGCCTTCGCCAGAAGACTGCTTCCTATGCAGAACATAGTCTTGCTACACTCTCCTCTATCTCCACCTCTCAGTGTTCCAATACAAACCTCAAGTCTAAAAACAAAAACTTCACCCTACAGTGGGAAAAAGTTTCTAGGGAGAGGTAAATATTTGTCAAATGGTAACACTACATTTCCTTATCAAAGCTTCCATAAACTAAATGCTCAAATGCTCATGATGATTATCTTAATGTAATAGCCTATATTGTTTTTTAAATGATCTCCTTTAAAGAAAATGAGAAAACATAATCATTCTGAAACGAAAAACAAACAAGTATTTAGAATACATCCCTCCTGTTTTCAGCTTTAAAAGGAAGGGACTGTTTTCAAAATTAGCGTTTATTGACAATGTTGACTGAAACACTTTTGGTTATCTGATAAAAGATTTTTGTCCCAGACGCAAGGACCTCTTTTCTTCTCATTGTATTCTTAGGAAATACATTTTCACACTCCAATGGAAATTTTCTTTTTCAAAAATCATTTATCATGCCTGTGAACCTCAGAGCGCAGTTGACTTCGTTTGGCACTTTAAGCTGCACGGTGGCTCAATTAGACCTCTATGTCTGTCACCACAAAGCGTTTTCAAAGGCTGAAAATCCATGGCTGCTTGCTTACTTACTAAACACTTCGGGCCTTAGGAGAACTCAGGCATTGAGAAAGTCAAATATCAAATGTTTGATCATATAAAGGCATGACTATTCATGTGTGTGTCCCCAAACTCTGAACAGTGAGGGGAAAGACTCAAAACAAGCAGAAAAGGAAACCTTCTCTGAAAGACACTGGAAAACCAACTTCAGACCAGCTACTCACCACGGTTCTCAGCTAACAAGTTTCTGTACCCCTGGCCATCTAAAGAAATGAAACTTAAAAACACTTGTCCAAACTCAGTGACAGCTCAGAATTTATTGAGTTCTTGCAAACGCTATGCTTAAAGGTCTTCAAAACTCCTCCCAAGAAAGTGTAAGCCTGTGAGTCATTAGCAATTCAGATACTGGTTTTGAAGGGCAATGGTCTACACAGATACCCAAAAGTTTCAAAATCTGGAGTTTAACTCCCAAGTGCACTGAAATCACATAAAGGACCAGAGAGGGCCAAATACATTAAGGCGGGGGTGGGGTGGCAAAAGTTTATTGTATCAGATACTGAAGATGAGCCTACTTAATACAGTGTTGGATAAATTTGTTTTGGAACCGAAAGACGTCTCTCTTAAAATCGCGGTTATCAGTTTGTTGTTCGTCTGCTGAGTTTTTCCATCGGAAAACTTCCCTCATTTATCAGCCTAGAGGTAGAAAAAGTCATCTGTGGGATATATGCCGCTAAGTCTATCTTACGTACCCTACAATGTATGGCTACAGCACTGCTCAATATATGTAATAATATTTGAGGCTAGTGCAGCAATTAAGATATGAAATAATCCCCCCTTGGAGAATATTACCCAGTGTTCTACTTATTTCTAAAGATCATAACCAAAAGTAGTTAATTTGCAATGATCCTTTAATGATCCTAATGGCTCCAATCATTTGGAGGGTAAGGATTACACTTTTACGACTGAACCCCGCGGCTACTAAACTCCCAGGAACAAAGTGTCATCATTTTCCCCCAAGCCATAGAGTTTTTTCCTTCCTTTGAAAATAAATCAAAACACTGATAAAAAAAAAAAAAAAAAAAAAAAAGCGCTCCTGTTATCTCGGGCTTTGCCCACCGGACAGCTGTTCTTGGTCACTCCAGTTCTCCAAACACCCAGCTTGTACTTACAGAGCTCACATCTGCTGCCTCCACCGGTTTGGTGTGCTCCTTGGAGTTTTCTGTGTTAGCAGACCTCCATTCCTGACATAGTTTGGCCGCTGGGCAGGAACGCGGGGACCCGGACGCTCTCACAGGCAACGCGGCGCGGCCGGCAGCGGAGCGCGGAGGCCGGGGATTGCCCGGCTCCAGGGGAAGGTGCCCCGGCACTGCTGCAGTCTCGGGCTGCCGAGCGACTGAGTGCGATCGCCTTCCCCAGGAAGGATCCCGCCACCGCGCACCGCCACAGGAAGGCTTCCAGTCGGAAGTGGCCGTGCACACTCGCTACCTCGCCGCAAGCACGGAGCCATCAGCTCGCCGCGTTCTGTTTGGGAACGGCTTTGCGCCCCAGCAAACGGCAGCGGCAGATAGCATCTGAGACGCCTAGACAAAGAAACGGCACAATCTCATCCCCCCCGATTTGTTTGCGCAGCCTTGTAGGTCTGCCCACGAAGCCTCGGGGCTTTTTGTTTTGTTTTGTTTTTGCAACGCAAACCACAGCTAGTCTCTGGTCCTAACCTTATTGGTTTAAATGCAACAATTGAGAGGAGCAGAGCTTGGTCTGACTCAACCTCGCTGCTCTAAAAAAAAAAAAAAAAAAATTATTATGTAAATGACGCGCCCCATGCTATCTGAATAAACAGCTGTGGGGGAAGAACTTGTGGGAACCTCTGTCAACACACACACACACACACACACACACACACACACACACACACACACA